TTGTTCAATAGGTAATAGAAAACTACAGATGGGCCTGAGCTGAAACTGCTGATTTGAACATCACAGAGCTTTTTTGGGGAAGGTCTGCAGAGCATCGTCTTCCTCTACCATCAGGCCAAACTCTACAGCCCGGCAATAGACCAATGCAGACAGGAATGCGTTCAAAATCAAGGTCTGATTTCTGCAGTTCAGGCACATCCTTATATAAAACTGAAAGCATCGTTGTGTTGCAGTACCGAGGGATGTGATGGCCGGGGTGCAGCCACATCCCAGAGTGAGACTGGATTGGCGCCTGGGAGTTACTCACAGAGATGGAGACTGAGTGGTATCGAAGCTTGATGTCCAGACAAGAAGCCAGGGTGGAAATTCGTCTTTCACTGCATCACTGCTTTCAGCACAGAGGTAAATGGAGAAATACACGTGGAGGTGTGACACGAAGGAAAGTTTTCAGGAGGTGGAGAAAGACCAGCGTCTCGGCTAGTGTCATTGCCTTTATCCTAAGGGTTACTTACTGAGTCTAACCTGAGATCCTACATGAAATGAATTTGGGTGGATTCAGCTTTTCTTTAAGTAGTCTGCAATCCACATAATGGAAACTACAACACTAAGCTATTATGCTGAATTTGGCACGATCGGCAGTCTCTGCCCAGGAGAGGCAGAGACTGAGTTAACGTGGGCACAACCAGCTTACAAGACCCTCAAAAGTGGTCCTCCAAGCCAGATGATCAACGTTCTTGGTGGGTCAGTTCAGGAGACTTGACACTTTCAGGAAACAACACTAATCAGTGAATGAAGAGGACTTCAAAGGACTGCTAGTCCTTTCAACACAGTCTCACCCAAATACTCACGCCAAGATGTAAACAACATCTTTCCTGTAGGGGTTTCACTGGGGAATCAGTGTGATGCAAACACAGAGAAATGTATAGAATTTCACAAAGGAAGAACGTTTTTAAAGATCAAAAATAAAGTGTGATGCAAAAAAAAGGAGGCTGATTATGAAGTAATAACATTCAAAGCACCTCTTAATAATATCTCTCTTTCAATAGCAATGCTAATTGCTAAAATCTTACATTTTGATTTCTTTTGCCTGAAAAGTCTTCAGCCATGGAAATTGCATAGTCACCAGACTGCAGATGAATTTCCTGGGATAAATCACAAGTTCATGCAATTTTTGGTTGCTTGATGGTGTAATAGAAACCTTTGTTCCCTTTTTAATAATGAAATAGTAAGAATGATAAGAATGAATTATAAGCGTACAAAACTGCACAGGCTGGAGAAGCATGTAGGTGACACCTCCCACCCTTGACCCTCAGACCCATTTATAATAAGCTGCTGCCACACTGGCAGATCACCTTTTCCTCAAAAGATCCTATTTCACCAGCTTTTTGTGGACACTCAATTCAAACTGAAAAGTGGAGGGCGAGAGAGGAAGAAGAAGAAGCAGGAGGCATCGCAACATGGCACTCACGAGATGCAGCATGCAATGCTTATGCCTTTGTGAGGCCTTTTCTCCAGGCAGCCCAGGTGGGCGAGTTTATCCTCCCTTGGAGAAGCAGCAAGCCTGAAGAGCAGCCTGCTTTTCTCTTGTGAATCACTGATGCGTGCACTATTTCTGAAATGAAGTCCTTGGCCACAGAGCTCCTTTCGTTGCCGTATTTCACCCACCTTGCATACTCCGTGTGTGTGCTTTGAAAGTTTACCACCTCCTGCGCCTCGGCGGGGTTTTGGGGATTATACGACCGCATTGTTATCAACTGTTTTGTTGTTTTGGGAGGAGGTCATTGCATATTCAGCCCGACTGGTTCCGTTCTCTTCTTTTCTCATTGGTTTCCTTGGGTGATCCCAGGTTCGGTGATGTATTGGCAGGGTAGGGGAGAAGAAGAAAGGACAGAGATAAATATCTTCTTTGTCAATACAGACTGAAAGCAAGGACATGTAAGGTGTATCATAATACTGAACTTTTCCTGTCTCTTTTTCCCTTTCTGAACACAGGCCAAACCAGCAGTTAAATTTTGTCAAGCCTCATGATCTACCTGGAAGGTGAGAGGTCTGGTCCTAAGGCCTCATGATGGGCTGTCACTCCCCCTGTGCTAGTCTGTGTATGGATACAGGTGTGCGTGTTGCATGAGACGAAGGCTGTTAGAAGGAGAGACCTCCACCACCACCTTCATCCCTGGAACGGAGGCTGAGGTCCTGGGTCAGGGTCTGCCTTGGGGCAGTCCTGGGCCTTTCTCCTTTGAAGTCCCACATCACTCAAACTGAGATGATGACCAGTCATGTCCACTGAGGAATCAACTCACTCACCAGTCACCCTAAAACCACTGTGTTCCGTCACTAGGAAAGGGCTTATCTGACCAGTGTAGATATGTACATCTGTGGTGACCACCCCAGACCACCTTCCCAGTCAATGGAGAGGAAAAGGTACTTTTAAAACACAGTTCAGAACAGCTTAAAGTGGTTATCCAAAATCAGTCAGATGCTTTGTGCCCAAGGTATTCATGTTTCTCTGCATTGTCTGTGAAGGAAGGCTAGTTAGCTAGCCCAGACACAGATGTCCATGTTCTAGTTGTCTGAGCTAGTGACTGAAACACAGTGCCTGCTGTGACCTACCAGCCCCCCAGCACCAACCACCCTTTCTTTTTTCTTTGGTGGGCACTGGTACCACTTGGTACACAGTCCAGGACCACCAATGCTAATTGTGAGACAATTCAGGAAATGCCCAGCAAGTGCAGAAAACCAACAAACATCTGCACCTTAAGGAGCAAACTCATCTTATTTGGGATTTTAAACTGACTCTGAAAAGAGAGACTTGAGCATACGTCCCATAACAGACCATGTTACATCATGTAAATGTTTCCCCCATAACTTCTCATCTCAAAAATGACATGACTTTTATTCACAGCTGAAGCTTTAAACATAGTAGGAGGAAAAAGCTTTGTGCTTTCCTCACAGATATTTCAGCCATTAGTGCCTTGAGTTTAAGGTGCTTCTGAGGGCAAAAAGAGGACCAGATAAATATAATACAACAGTCAGTCTGTGCTATTGTTATTGATATTGTTTAACAAAATGAACAACAATTAATAAAAGATGGTTAATGACATTTAATTTCAGCAAAGTATTAATGAAAGATTTATAGAGAATGATTACAGGAAGATATATTTGTTTTGCTAGTAATCTCAAAGAAGATAGTTCTGATTGTGATACCTTATGCCTCTAGCTGGTAAGAGTTAAGGCTTGTTAATATCAGCCACGATTCCAGCTGTTAGAGAATGGAAACAGAAGGGAAGGGGAGACTAAGAGTTGTTGAGACTAAGGGTTTGTTGAACTGTTTTTCAGCCATTAAGATGCTGTGCCTGTCTGTATCTGACACAAGGTCCCGCGGTTCTGTCTTTCATGACATTGCCAAGCACCCATCCACCCTGCCACATCCCTGACAAGAGAAATAGAGAATTTGATGGCAATACTTCTCTTATTTTTTCTTGAGCAGGAAAAATGGTGTGGCTGTCTAAACTTCTCTGCTGCTTTCCAAGATTATTCCTTTTTCTCTCTGCACCGCCCCCTCCTCCC